GGGGGGGGGTGTGGGGGTGCAGTTAAAGGTGTAGACTAAGAAAGGCTGAGTGTTTCAGTCCGAGTAAAGACTCGACTCACCCCGAGTGCGGACAAGACCAAGCCCATTCATACGTGGTCTCGAGATCAGACTTAAGTCAGCGTATGAAATGAACATAGCAGCACCAGATATTCAAGGGATTCAAGAATGTGCCAGAAGTATGTAAAAAAGGTAATACAATGTATCTGTATAGTAAATGATAGTTTAAAATCATTGATGTTTTAAATGAAAAATGTTGTTTTATGGAAATGTATTTGGGTCTGAAGGGCTCACACACAAAGATGCACTTTGCATGCTTGCATGTGTGCACACACACACACACACACACACGCATGCACACACCCAGGCCCATACATCCTGTATTTTTACTATAAGTAAGAAGGTTTTGCCCCTGTGTGGCCACAGTGGAAAATTCCACATTCCCTCACTGAGCATGCTCCGGACTCACCCCTACTGAGCATGCTCAAACTCTAGCTCAGGGCCTCAGGCCCCTTTCAGTCTTCCAGCTGTGTGATGTCACATGACCATGCCTTGGTAGGGCGCCACATGTGGAGCATGCAGACATATATCTATAAATGATGTACATGTGTGCAGCTTAGAGAGGCATTTTCCAGAAACTACACTGTTTCAGACATTAAACTTATGTATTGTACAATGTGTCATTAATACATAATAGTGCACAATATTTTTACATATTGATTTTGTATGGTTTTCTTGGCATGAAGAATTTTGTCTGGAAGCAGACTGAAATGCAGCATATCATCAGGCTTACCATGTGATCTGGACACCAGCATGAGAAACATTGCTGTCGGCAGCCATTGAGAGGAGGGCTGGTGTCTTGTGTAGTTCTGTGCATGGAGGAATAGAAGCAGGGAATCTGATTGGGGGGTTTCAGCAAACATACAGTGCTCACAGAAAGTCTTGGGACGCTTGCTTAATTCACTAAAAATGTTACAAATTCGTTAGTTTTTTTTTTATTTACAAAAATCATTAATTTACTCATTTGTTTACAAAAACTATATTACATTAAAACCAACCAGTAGTTTTAAGTAAAACATTAATTTCGAGTAGTAATAAATTGAAACCCAAAATTATGGTTCCAAAAGAACTGTTAGTTAAAATGTTTATTGACAAGCAGTTTCACTGGGTGTTTTTTAATTAGCTTAGTAACACCTTTGCAATAACATAAAACATTAAATATTGGTGTTTAGTGCCCCGTTGGGAGCCAGTGACTACAATTGCAGTTAATAGCAAAATGGCAAGAACAGAACAGAATGAGTCAGTCAGAAAATGACAATAAAAAGAAAATGCGTGGAAAATATGTGCAGATATATCAAATATTGCTCGTTAAAGGACTTTTGTTATGAATCCAATACATTTTGCAACATTTATACAGAATTAAGCAAGCATCCCAGTACGTTCTGTGAGTACTGTACTTGCCATGCTTAATTTAGTGTTGCCACCTCGCGGTACATCTCTCATCCCGTCCATTCAGGTATTCATCCAGACTTCCTGTCCACCCCAACAATGAATGGCCCACAGACTATTCTTCCACAGTGTAATTCATCATACTCACAGGTTTGCATTGCATTGGTAGGAAAGAGCGTATGGACTGAACAAGTTATCATTCGTGGTTTAACTTTAACTTTTCACTGCCCCCCCCCCCCGCTCAGTGAAAGTATAAAACCTGGTTTAATTCGATTTACATATGATGTTCACATGTCAAGTTCTGTTTATTTAATTCTACTTGATTCGATTAGTAGAGAGTCATTCAAAGTTATGACGAAGTTACTCCTCAAAACGTGAAGCAGCTCTGAAACGGCAGACTGATGAAATACGGAAAACGCTTTTACACAACAAATCCTTCAACTTACTGTTGAGGAGGCACTGACTGGTGCCTCTAAGCATGTGTGAGGTGTCCGTGTGCACACCCACTTATCCAAGCTGCGCTTCCAAATCGGGAAAGCATGGCACACAGTCCAGTTTTTACCCATTCATTTCTACGTCTCCTGCCAACAGGATCGAACAGAAACATTACCGAATAATACTGGATTTACAGAATTCGTTTCAATTTATCACATTCTGGACTCAGCTTATGCTGTAGATGACGGACAGACATCGTCTACCACTAAGGATCATTCAGGATTTTCATTCACTTTCTACATTTACTTTTGACACAGTTTCTCTAATCGATCGCTCTTTTTTTGTGTGAATATGAGAGATAACGAACTTTATTCGGGCACCGACGGCGCGGTCTGCCCTAATATCGCGCTTTTAGGCTCCGCTCCGAAGCGCATAAACCCATCGGCTTCTCCTTCGATAAAGGAGTTTGTACCCAGGAGATCCTGCGGAGTCCCCGCCGCTGGGATGGATGCGGACAGGCACGTCGCCGTGTCCAGAGGTAGGGCTACAGAGCGACTTTTTCAGGTTTGCTGACCTGTCACTTGAGATCTATACAAACCGACTTGAATGGCGGTGGTGGAGTACATGACACCCAGGACAATTTAGACTAATTATACCAACCATTAGCTGTTGGATTTTTGTTCTGGACCCTGGGGTTACGGTAGAAATAAGCGCTTTTATTCTCATGGAGAATAGTTTCGTTGCATTGCTTGTAATCATAATGCGCTTTTATTTCACTGAAACTAAGGCGTTCATGCGGTTCTTGATGACGATCCTATCTGCACATGTGAACCTTTTCTTTTTTCAAAAGGTTTTTGCAACCACTGGAGTTTTATAAAATAAGTACAAGCTATAGCCGATCGCCAGGCTGGCTTTGGACAAGGGAAGCTGTTTGGTTGCAATGTGAAGATCGGAGATTTGAGTTACGTGTCCTGCTGTTTCTACGTCTATTAAGGCGAACTGCGAGGCAGCTTTTTGTTTCTGGGCGTTATGTGTCCTATGTGAGGCTCAGCAGTTTAATCAGTTATGTATATTTGGTGTAAATATGCTTTTCAATGCCTGCTTGAGAATCAGCTCTTTTAGCACCATTAAATGTGCAGAACAGAGACTGTAAGCCATCCAGACTGCTCATCTGCCTGGGCTTCTGGAGAGACGGCTTGGAGTGACTTCCCCTCCCAAATTCTCTGGAATGGAAACGCCACAATGCATTTTGATCAAGTGGACCACTGAAGTTTGATAGTAGTGTTCCCCACTATTCCTTAGCCAGAACCTGACCCACGCTTGTCAGCCCTTGTAGAGTCACATTCCACAGATTCCTCTGTCCTTACAGTGTCATCTGGCATCGAGCGGTGACAGTGACAGACAATCATGTGAGGCCTCACCAACTGTAACTGACCCACTTAGGAGAAGGGGAGGGGGGCCTCACTGACTATATTTGACCCACATCTGAGGAGGGGTCTCAGCTGGTCTGAACAGGAGACAGAGTGAGTGACAGACCCCAGTGGGGGGGGGGAGGGGGGCGACACAATGGTGGGGGGAGTAGACTGTAAGTCAGCGCTTCTTACAGACACCCCTGGGTGCCAGGTGTGTGGCCAGTAAACAGTAAACATCCCCCTTCCTGTAGATGTGTAAAGGTTTAGGCTCTGAGGTTTTCTGTAGGACTTCTGTATTGTTCAGTTAGGTGATTTTGCCTGTTTTACTGCCTTGTAGTTGTGTGGGATGTGGGGGAGGCCTTCTATGAAGAGCTCTTAGGGTGTGTGATCTCCCAAACAGGTATATTACTGGTCTGTCTGGGGAGGGGGCTCCCCTAAGGGGGAGTGAACGGATGCCCCGCCCCCTTCACTCCTCCAGCACTGCACACTCTACAGTGATTCGGTTGCATCCGGTGCAGCCCGGTCTCATCCTGCCTGGCCTGTCAGTCAGAAGCAGGAGGGTGAATGAAACCCGGCAGAGAAGTCCACACTCTCACCGGGCCTCTGGATCCTAAAGAGTCAGGTAGAAGAATCCATGCCAGATGGAAAATCAAACTTTAAATGGAAACTAGGCATGTTATAGAAGTCATTGTAGAAGCAGAAGTAAGCTGGATAGCACCAGTCTTGAGTAAAAGTGGCATACAACCCAGGCTCATTATGTGCGGACGCATTGCGCCACCTAGTGGTACCAGGCTGAGGGCTGCGCGCCAGGGCTGGAGTGGCCAGCTTGCTCCGGTTCCCAGGCCCCTGTGTGATGTCACCGTGCCACATGCAAAACACGGTTGTATTGCCCCGCCTCCTTGTCTGTGGGCCATAAAGAGCATTACATCATAAGCACACAATGTCAGCTGCCCCTCCGCTAGTACGGTCCGGTTCTGAGCAGTTCTGATCATAGCCCCCCCTTGCTCAGATGTTTATAGCAAACCACCAAATCTAAATGAAATTCTGCTAAATTTTCAAGCAACTAGAGCTCTTATGCAACCAGAAGTGTGACTGGAAACCAGCTTTCTGTCATGTGACACCATGCTGCTTCAGAAAACACACATTCATGATGCACATTTTCTGTCTGCCCTTTTCTCTGTTTGTGTGTCAGTGTGTCACCTTTGAAATACCGACCATCAGGTTTTGCCAGTTTATTTTGCGCTTCCTTCTTCCACCTTCCCTGTGCCTGTGACACGTTACTGGGAGATATAACTGTCCTTCGCTGGCACATGTGAGACCCCCGCAAAGGTCAGGGTCCCCCTTCGAAGGCATCATGGCATCCCGCCCGGCTGAGAGCCAACCCAACGCTACACCTCCTCCTATCTGGAGATGGGTGCCAGACTTTCATTGACAAGGTTTCTGGGACGAAGAGTTGATTTCTGTCATGTGGGGACTATATGCATAGATTATGGGGGAATGGGGAGGTTCGAACCCCCCAATAATGAAAACCAGCCAATATAACCCCCTGGACCCCCTTAAATGGGTGGTGAACCCCCCCAATGCTTAACCCAAAGTAATGCCCTTGATGGGGACTATGGTGTTGGCAGCCAGCAGAGGTTGGCATGACGCTGGGTCTAACTCTAAACTTGCCCCCTCCATCGTGAAGACACAGCCCCCTGAGTCCTGACTGCAGAGTCAGAGTGATCTCACTGAAATAGTGTTTTTCCACTCTCCAGACAAACCTGTGATTGCACCAGCTGTCTTCGTCTTTCAGAAGACCCCCCCCACCCAGAAGGTAATTCCCGTTAATGCTAATGGCTCTCGGCGTCTGCCAGAGCTTTGTTTTTTCAAGAACGTTTGAGATAAAAAGGTGTAACACCTAGTGCTGAAGATCTGAAGAAAATATTATAGGGTAGTTTGCCATAAAACCCCCAGACAGCGTAAAGCACATTAGATGTCACTGAGCATCGACCGAATGACTCGCCAGTCATGTGCTTATGTTCTCTTTCTGCCGATATAGAGGTGGGCTGAAGACGGTGAAGAAGGAGCAGGTAAGACCATCGACCACCACCATGTGAGTGGGCTGTGATGGTATTGCGGAGTGCATAGAGTGACATCCCATTTCATTTTGTTTTTCCAGATTTGGGGGCCGTTGCATCCAAGAGGAGGCGATCCTTAACGTTCCCGTCCGTGAGGCCCAGGTGCAGAAAAGGTGAGAAATGCAGCAGGCCACGCCCACCAAACACAGCCAGTCATGGGTTATGGGTCAGCCAGTCTCATCTGGTCAGATGAAAGAGTGTCCTTCTGTGCTGTTTTTCAGTGTTCTCTGGTCTTCTTCTGTAATGTTCCAAGATGTTCTGTAGTATTCAGGGTTGTTCTGTGCTGTTTTCAGGTGTTCCATAGCATTGTTCTGTGATCTTTTGGGATTTTCTGCACTGTTCTTGGGTGTTCCAGGATGTTCCATAGTGTTCTTTAATGTTCCTCTGCTATATTCTATAGAGTTATTCCATGGTGTGCTTTTCTCAAGTGTTCTAGGATGTTCTGCAGTGTTCTGTGATGTTCTGTAGAGTTAATGCATGGCATGATGTTCTCAGGTGTTCTTCTGGGGAGTTCTGAAATGATCCATGTTGTTCCCGGGTGTTCTGTGGTGTTTTGTAATGTTCTGTAGAGCTATCCTGTGATCTTCTGGGATGTTCTCGGCTGTTCTCCGGTGTTCTTCCATGGTTGTCTTGGATCCCCTGCCTGTAGAATTGAGTAACACACACACTGACAAGCCCAAGCCGCTCCATCATGCTGTTTTTACATGGAAGCTCATAAACCGCAGCATGTCCAGACATGCAGGCGTCTCTGCCCTAACTGCTTACAACTGCTGTCCTTGTGACCCAACACAACACACAGACACTTTTGTACAGAATTTCTTGCCTCTGCTCCTGTGAGGTAATGCCATAATTACAGAAAGATAGGGAAAAAGAAAACAGGAACCATGAAGCAGTGCTTCCATCAGTTGTGCACTTCATTCTCAGAGTATCTCATGCTCCCTGATTTTATTTTTCTGGCTTGTGTGGTTTGTATGGTTCTAGACACATCATTTTTCTGGCTTGTGTGTTTTGTATGGTTCTAGACACATCTTTGATAGATGCTTAGTGTTTTAGATGGAGGTGCAGCAGTGTTACATTGGGTAGGGGGTTAGGGTGTGGGAGGGGGTTGTTATGATTACATCCGATCAATCCTGCCTTCCCCACAAAGAGCTTCTTGGAAGCCATGTTGACTGATTATGCAACACCAACACACACTCAACACAGCTGCTTTCCTGTGTTTGCCTTTGGCAGGCTATGAAAGACGAACTCGGACCAGTTCCATTTCCTTTCCTACTCCTGCCTCAGGTGAGCTCTCCACCCTCCCTTCTCCTTCCCTGCTGCTAAGCGATCTCCTGGCTCAGCACTCACCTAAGCTCTGCCTCTAGGTTTCCCTCCAGTCCAGCAAAGGATGCTTTTGAGACCCACTACTCTCCCAGCACCACAGCCATGGAGCTCCCCTTACCAGCCGTCACTGCCTGAGGTGAGGCCCCCTCTGACCCAGATACAAGCCTGATCTACATATCGGCAAAAGTTCAGGGCTGAATGCAGAGATGCAGGGTCTGTGGAGAAACAATGGAAGGACTGAGGCCAAAGTCAGACCAATCAGGTTCTAGAACTGGTTTGAGTCAGTTCTGGCGGTGGTCAGTTCTCTTGCTGCGGCCAGGACTTTTCTCACTCGCGTGTCTTTATCCAGCTTCCATCATGTTTACACTGCAGAGAGGCTGGCCACGCCCACTCTGGCCCAGAGCCGCCTGCAGAACAAGCCTGTACGTTGTTCTCTGTTCCCACAGATGGGCCTGGGGCCCAGCGAACAGGCTGTGGTAGAAATGGGCTGGGACAGTTCTGCAAGGACTGTGCCGCTGATGCCGTGTGATCCACGGTGAGCATTACAGTGGTGGGGTAAGATGTGAGGGGTCGTCCATCCTGAACACTGACCTGCATGGCCTTCGGGAATCAAACACAGGGTGTATGTTGCTTCGTGTAGCTAACCTGCCCTGGCTTTCATCTTTGCAGAATTCTCCGTGACAAAATCCCGTTTGTGTTTGGGGAAAATATGAGTGAACGAGTCCTGGTGAGCATGTTCCACATCTTTCTACGACACAGGGCTAATTTACTGACAGATTGGATGGATTTAGCCTGGATTTAGGATTTAGTCTGAGCTGCACAGAGGAGTCAGTGTGTCTTCTGTCTTCCAGAGTCCATCCAAGTGCAGTGAGGACTCCTCTGTCTCCAGCTCGGACTGCTCTGACTCCGAACTATCTGATGAAAATCCCTCATACCCAAGTAAATTTAACAACCTGAAATTCTCCTCCTACTTAATTTTGGGAAGTGGGCTGCATATAGGGCGACCAGATAATTCATGTCAGAGGGGACACTATGAGCTACTTCAGGTTTAACAAACTTCTTTATAACTGAAAGGCTTAAACCCATGCTCAGCTAAATTGTTTGGTTTGTCTTGTACTTTCACTGCTTTGTTTCCTTAGTTAAGATTGATTCAGCTGTTTCACATTAACATTAGTGACACATGCATGATTGACCAATCAGCACGCAGACTGACCAATCAACACACAGCAAGACCTCAGTGCTTAAGTGAAATCTGGATCTTTTTAATTGAAATGGTTGAAATAGTAGTTTACAAATCCTTTCCTAGCAGCTCAAATTGTACCCCCCCCCCCCCCCCCCCGACATTAGGAGGTGACCCTAGCTGCATAATATAATAAACACAGCAAAACAGACACAGATAAAGATTAGTGTGTTTTTAAGACTCCAGCCCGAGGCAGAACCAAGTAGCCCATCATTAAGTGTTTGCCATGGTTTAATTATTATATATATTTTTTTAAATAAAGTAAAATATAAAAAAAATCACAGCACCACACTGCCACCTTATGGATATACGTAGCAAGCACATTATGGTCTATGGTGTGTGCACAGTGTCTGAGGGGAGAACACTTTTGGAATCTGCTGCAGCCTACACTGCGGCCCATAGGGGGCGATGTCTGCTCAAGCACATTCAGGTGGTCACTGGGGAAGAGCAGGAGAGCAACGTTGTACAGGTACAGAGCACCAGCAAACTGTCACATGCTGTTTCTACTGCAGTGTCATAAAAATTACATTTAACGGAAAAGGTTGATAATCTTGAGCCCAAGTGGAGCATTTCTGTTGAGCCATGAGGAGACCTGTGTAAATTTTTGTAGCAAAAGGCTGCCTGTAATACATTATACTAAAGCCTGTCTCTGGTGGAGTTAATCCAGTCATACCTGTGGAGTCAATGTACTGACTATGGCTTAACCACTATCCCAACCCAGCTGACCTGTAAGCTGTTTGTGCTGGAGAGGAGGACACAGTCATGGAGCGAGAGGGGGAGGGGGATCCTTCGGCTGAACGACATGGTGACAGGTTCCCAAGGCCGTCTGCAGTCGCGCTTAGGTAACAACACGTTCCAGACGCTCATGGGAAACATGTCTGCCCCCAGGAAAGGGATCCGTGTCTAGAGAGTTTTTTCATGACTCCATGGAAATTCATTTGTCTATTCTTTTATAATAGATGTTTGTTGTCTTTTATCCATGAGAATAATTTCAGAATAAGATCATGAAATATCTATTTGTGTGACTTAATGACCTGTAATGGCCCTGTTGACTACCAAACGTAGGACAGTAATTGCAGTAATTAGACTGGACACCTCCTACGATGCTGTGCCTGTTTTTGTGGAGACAGTTCGCCCGTGACAGTCTGTTGTGGCACCCGTAGGGCCTGGGAGCCGACTGGGGATTAGCCTGCTACATTACACTGGTTCTCATTGAGGTTTTGGTGGTTTCTCAGTAATTATACTGCTGTCGCTGTAGAAGCAGCCTTTGGGTTACTCTGCAGATCTCTGACTGGGCCCAGCTCAAGGCTCCCACTGCCTAGTTACCCCCCGTCAGTGATGCTGGTTTAATCATGTCTCATCCTGACAATTCCTGACTTTTTCTTACAGATGTTTCTTTGATGTGT